ATATATATTCACTAGAATCGATTGTGGAACCTTTTTTTTCTAGCTGATGAACAATAAAAACTTAAAATGTCTAAGGGAAGTGGAAATGCAGCAGACATACTACAGACATCTAAATGAGACAAATATTCGCAAAAAGCCCTTGTGACGGCAGTAGTCAATTTAGGAGACGGCTCTAAACTGCTCTAAGGTTAAAACCAGACATGTCCAATGACGACATTGGCGCGTGTATGAGATCTGTGAGCACGTCCTCAATCTCGTTTTCACTCAGTCTTTCACACTTCTTTGAAAAACTGTTGCCTCTTCATGCTCCATCTCCCATAGGCACAGCGTTGCAGAATAAGAGACACTGTGAGACAGATGAATGCATCTTACGAAAGCCACAATCACAACTGATTTCAGCCCCTCACATCAAGCGCTCTTCCCAGCTGGTGGCCGCCAAGACCATTTCTGTTCATCTATGTGCAAATGAGCGGCGGGTCTGGCGCAGTATGCCAATCGCATCCCACGGGCTTGCCCTCGTGGAGTCGAAGCTGAGGAGGAGGAAAGCCAGAGGAACAACAGAGTCCTGAGCTCAGTGTGAGCGAGTGGCATGACCGTATTAATCAAAAGAAGGGGCGCAGAGGTCAGCGCCGGTACCCAGGATCTCTCTCACACCTATACAGTTTGAGAGACGCTAGTAATCTCACAGCGTCCGGCTGAAGAGGAGTTGGCTGGAAATTATAAAGCCAAGGTGCTGAGAGAGAGAGAGTATATTGAAAGGAGATAATTACGAGGCCACAGATGTCATCGCATTTACATAACGTTGACGAGAAGGACCTGGAGTTCTCTACGGGAAACAACGGCAGGCCTCTCTACACAGGACAGCTGGCAATTTAATGTGTGGAGTGGAACTGATGAGATTGAGATGATTGAGATTGATTTGATCCTAGGAAGTGACCTTACCTGTTCCCGCTCAAAAATATCCCGCAAATGCTCCAAACCCAAACTCTTCAGGAACTGACTGATGTTCATATCCAGAATTGTAACTATAGGAAAAAAACATCATAACTCATAACTATTGTCATACATTTACGGCATAATTACCTTTAGGGCTGCAACTAAATGTCATTTCATTACTGATTAATTTAGCAACATTTTTTTTTTTTTAGATTAATGGAATAAAAGCCTATTTTTCCAGCATTTTCTAATACAAAATGCTGTTATCATGCACTCTACTATATATATAGTTATACCATTTCAGTTACCATTCTTATAAAATATTGTTAGCATTCCAACTTGCATAATTTCTTAAAATCATTTTGATTTCGGTTCATTTTAAACTAATACCATTTTATATCCAACAACACATTTTATAAAAAATAAATAAAAATGAATAGTTGGTGCAGCCCTACTTACAATATAAAGTTCTGTACAATAATTTTAAGTCACATCACATGATCTACTCACCTTCTCCCTCCTTCCTCTCTGATCCAGTAGCCCCATCAGCAGGGCCTGAGGCTCCAGGTACGGCCAGCTCTGCCAGGGGCCCGGCCAGATTGTCTATGCTGCTAGCGGCAGACAGACAGGAAGGTGTGGATGATGGAGAGATGACGGAGGCACTGACCACTGTAGCCTGGGGCTTAAAACAACTAGGCAACGCTTCAGGGGGCATGGCATCAATCAGCAGCGCCCGGATATCATCAGCCTGAAAATCAATAAAAAAATAAAAGTAAAGGGGGGAAAATCAACACTTGTATAAGAATTCTGTGTCTGATCAGTTTTAAATACAACTTAGACTCATCTAATATTCATGTTAGAGTACCATGCCACATGGGTGAGGGGATAAGTTAGAAAGTAGTTGCACAAAGCATTAGTTTGGCTTTTTGGTATAGAATTGGACAATAAAAGCTGAGAACAGCTGTGTCATTAGCACCTGGCATGAACACGGCCACCAGAGCCCAATTACTAAAGGTTACGGCAGATTTACCATTTGCTTCGCACAAGCCTGAACACAGGGGGGCATGGGTTTAAACACCTCTGCTTATGTGTTAAGAAGATAAATGTCCCAATTTCTCAGGATAGTCTATGCTACCTGAACCATATGGGACCTTACAGCCAGAATAAATAGTCTTGCAGAACATGAAACTTTTATAGAAGTTGGATTTAAACTGGGGAATGTCTATATTTTCAAATCTGTAGCTCTGTTAAATGAATGGCAGTATATAAATGTGGGCTTGACTGTACATAAATGTGAATCCGTGTAAGAGGTATGTGTTTATTACCGTCGCCAAGTCCAGCGGTGTCTGGCCCTCCTGGTTCTTCATGGTGGGGTCAGCCCCGTGGGCCAGCAGCAGAGCACAGAGCTGTGTGCGGCCCTTCTGCGCAGCTTCATGAAGGGGTGTGAAGGCCCATTTATCAGTGGCATTTACACAGGTGTTATACTTGATCAGCAGGGCCGCGATGTCCACATGCTAGAAGGGAAGACAGAGGCTTATTACTGAACAATTTATTCTACAACCTACAATCTTTAAAACCTGGATATTGATTAAAAAAGAAGCAAAGCTTTTTCTATAGCAGATCTGCTTTAGTGTAAAATATTGACTGTTTTTCAGACTTCAAGTGCTGGATTGTCACCATCACTAAGTGATATCTTTGGCTACGTTCACACTGCGAGCCTTAGTGCTCAATTCCGATTTTTGCTTAGATCCGATTTTTTTGTATAGCTGCTTACATTGTTGTATTAAATGTGGCCAATATCAGATTTCCAGTGTGAACAGATCATGGTTCTGAACTGACCCGCCTGCGCAAAAGAACAATATGAACAGGGTTGCCAGGTTTTCACAAAATAATCTGCCCAACTGCTTCTCAAAACTAGTCCAAAACTAGCCCAATCACTTTCTGTTGGTTATATATCGCGTTAGTGGGGTCACTTTAACCCACTGAGTTGAAAAACAACCCGCGGCAACGATGAAAAAATTTCCCAATTCTGTGGGAAAACTGCGGACTTGGCAACACTTGTGTTGTTTTGTTGTTGTTTTTTTAAAGCCTCTTATGCTCACCAAAGCTGCATTTATTTGATAAAACAAAAAAATACAGTCATATGGAAGTAAACACAGAGGACATAAAGTAAGCGATTATGCGTTTATTTATAGTGTGATCTGCCGCAGAAGCCAGCGAAATTATGCGCAGGCAATATGAAAAATAAAGACAATGATTTGACAGAAGAGAGCAGAGTTTTGAAACATTTATGATATGAGCCCTGATGTTTTGCTTGTATATAGAGTTGTCACTTATGACTTATGAGTTCTGACACGTCACTGTACTTCCACTGACTACCTTTCGCAACTGTCTTGATAGCTTTGGGTATGTAAAATCTTTGAAGTGACTCCCATGAGCGCAGAATCGTGACGAATGTTGATCTAGAGTGACGTAAAAGTCACATGAATGACTGTTCACCCTGCGGTCGCATTCCAAAACATCTGACCTGTATCGGATTTAGTACCACATATGGAAGTCGCACAATAAAGTGTTCCATACAACTCTTATGAAGCCATACAATAGCTTTGTGTGAAAAACAAACCAAAACACAAATTGTTATTCTTTGAAAATTTTGACATCTGCCCTAGCTCTACACGGCAAAAGAATGAGAAAAGTAGCAATGTTCCATTTGTGAATCAAATCACTCTTTTGAGTGAATCAAATTATTTTCAATTAATCATTTTTTTTAACAAATAAAATAAAATCAGTCCAAATGATTTTTTCATGATTTGAAGTAAATCATTTTCTCAGTAATCTGGTGGCAGCAGTTAACAGCTGACTAGAGGGAAAGACAATCAGTTAGTACAGAATTTACAGGCTCTTATTTTAAAAAATAAAATGAATTTAACTAGTTTAACTTTTAGTAATTTTGTGCTTTGCCATTTTAAAAATTAATTTTTGAAAATATTTTATTTCATTTTTTGTTTTTGTTCCAGTTTTATCATTTTTATTTAGTTAAATTTTTTTCATATAATATTTATATTTCAGCTTTATTTCCATTAACACATTTTTAATAGTTTTAGTTAACAATAACAATGACCATGACACCATGAGAATGTGTAAATATCGACAGAATTCTCATTTTTGACTATCCCTTTAAATGGCATATGAGAACCGTTCTCATTAGCAATAGAGAGGGAGGGCAAAACAAGCTTGGGTTTCGGCCAACTCTTGAGTTGTGGTGCACAGTGTGTGTGGCTGAGATGTCCTTCCGTCAGCAGCAGTGACTGTATGGAAGTGCGATCAGCTGGCTGTATTTGCCGAGCGCTGACAGCCTTTACACAAAAAGGCCGCAAATGAACAGAGGGAGGCGCACTCAAGGTCAGCCAGCATCGGCCGGCTGCCAGCTCTCCTCTAGCCAATCAGCAAAGCCTGGGCAACCTGCCATTCAGGTTACAGCCAATAAGAATCTCACAGCTCGCGTCACAGAGGTCCTGTTTCTTGGATGGCAACAGAGAGCATATGTGAGTGCAGCCGGAGTCTGACTAGTTCTGATCCAGCATGTTTATGTAACTGCAATCTGCTCCCATCCATCTGCATGGTCTAATCACATCCCTGTAGACCTCCAGAGGGCAGACGCTGATAAATACCTCCAACTACCATCACCTGTAATGGGTTTCCCTGAATTCGCTTGATTTGATTTCCAGAAAGAGTCAAATCCTGTATTACAAGTGTTCTGTGCCTTGTGGATTAAGGCTCATCTGGGTTGCGGCTCGCAAACGGCTTCATCTCGGCATCTGGGTTGTTCGCAAGTGAAAATGCAACTGAAACCCCCTGAAGAATCATGAGGCGCAGCGACGCATTAAAAGTGCATAAGCCAAGGTTCTGTTGGCAGAACAAATACAGATGTCCAAACACATTTTGCATACAGTCACTGATTTTTCACAGGAAGTGAAAACAAAGTGCTGTATCAGAGCACAGAGGGGTTCAGGTGAAGGTTTACATTTGTTCTGGGAGAAAAAAAGCCCTGTGTTTTGTTTTCAGGAGCAAATACATGGATTATTCAGCATCTACATCTGTTTGTGTGTGCCTGAGGTACCCACAGCACTGTTTCCAGGCATGACATGTGTCAGCTTAACAGATGTCTGCATGTAGTCCCAGTCTCAATTAAATGTTCCTCCTTTTAATCAGCAATTGCACTCACCCCGTACGAGGCCGCGTTGTGGAGGGGAATAAGGCCACCTTTGTCCTGTGCATTGACGTCCGCCCCGTGCTCAAGTAAATACTCTGCTACCTCCAGATTGTTATAGCCAGCTGTGGAGAAAAGGATGCAGAGAAATGTAAATCCATCTGCCCACAAATCTGGTATCAAACACAAGCAACTAATCCATATCACAAAAAAAAATTTACCAAAAAAAAAAAAACTTTTTCCCACAACGGCACACCACAACTGGATGGATGGATGGATAGATAGATAGATAGATGTGTGTAAAGCCATATAGAAATATTAAAAAACAATGACATAAAAATGATCAAAGCACATAAACTACTAAAACGCAAATCTAAATTAAAATGAAACCTGACATTATAAAAAATTACTTATTCAAAATATTAGTAAATACTAATAGTATGTAAGTTACTAAAACTGAAATAAAAATAGAGATCATTAAAATATAAGCACAAAAGAAATGACTAAATCTAAAATTTAAATGAAAACCGAAAATATATAAATCAAAGAATAAAAAAAAAAAAAGTTTTCCCCCTGCTCACAGTTTCAGTCAATTTATTAATTGTTCCCAAGATCAAATTGTTCATCTTGGGTGCATTTCAGTTCCTCTGCATAGGTCTATAGTGAAATTTCATCTATTCCCATTTTCAAAACTTAATTAAACTCAATTAATTAAACTCTCTTTAGCCAGTGTTACTGAAATCTTACTCCTCGTTACTCCTTGTGATTGCAATTATATTTATTGCTCAGTGCAAAGTGGAAGCTAAGCACAGATGTGTGTGTGTGTGTTTTTGTCACTCCAGCTTAGCTAGAAGAAACTCAATCTGGCAGTCAACCTTTGGCACTGAGCAAGCCGTCACTGACCTTTTCCCAAAAAGACCAGACACTACTATTTTCAGTTTTAACCGTCTTCTTCGGTTCCTTTCCCTCTCACTCCAGACATACATGCCTACAGGACCATCACTAATTAGAGCCCTCATCATTACAGGCTGTAGCCCTCCAATAACGCACAAACCCAGCTTTGAGAACCGCACTAATGAGAACACGCTCTCTGTCTCACACGTACACACTCCACCGCGTGTGCAGCGCTCATCAAATGCTTCCTGCAGGTTCTCCTCTATAAACTACAGGCATTTTTAGCAGTGTTTCTCACTTCCTTCCCATGAATATGTTATCTGTCTGGCTGTACTACTCTCTTTGCCTCTTATGTTTAATAAAGCATATTTACTCTCATTAACACCATGATAAGCATTAGGATTATAGTGAATTAAAAAATATTAACGTTGTGGATACAGTATCACACGTCATGAAGTGTCAGCAGCCATTTTCAATACATCAGAGAAAGTGTAGACTGCAAAATGAGCCTAATGCTAGTGAGTGAAAACATACTGCATTTCTGAATGAGGTAATTACTACACATATTTGTTTTTGTGGATAAATAAAATACCATTTTTTTTTTTTTATAGCACAGTACTACTATATAAAATATAAAAAGGCATTTTTTAATTTAAACATAAGTGTTATTTCTTCATAAAATGGATTAATTACAAATAAAAATACATAAAAACAAATATATTTGATTGGTGGGCAGACACTGCTGAATCAGGGGGCATCAGCCCCTGGATTTAACCTCAGTCCCCCCCAAGCAGCCTTAAAAATGACTTACCAGTCATTAAAAAAATTGCTAGGCAAAGCATCAGGATTGTAATGCATGAGATTCTGTAACATCAGACAGAACAAATTAATTCGTCTTACAATTGTCCCCACAGGCAAACGGCAGACGAGTGGCGTGTTCTCTAAGCAGGGGTCACAACCACCACGTTAGTCACAGCCCATTGCTCTCCAGTAGAAATAGCGAATGTGTGCTAGCTGGAGTAAAATCATGTGTCTATATCTTTGCCTGATGGTAAGGGCCGTCACCCACCTGCTGCTGGCCAGGCCTAGCAAGATAAGTGGAATGACCAGCGCGCTCACTCCATCTGTTCAGTGACATTTGCTGATCTGTGCTGTTCAGCACGCAGTATGAGTCACTGGCACGGCTGGAGTGTTGTGCAAATGATGATCCTGGAGCAGTGTTCTCCTTCTCTAAACTCAAATCTATTTAACACCCTTAGGCTTCTGGGTAATTCTTTTTAGTTCGCAATTATAGTTATAAACTGAATTATCTTTATTAATAGTAATATATTTTAAACAAATTGCCATGCTTGTAAAAATCCAGCTGCAATTATATTTTACTCTTCCGTATTTATAATAGTCATGTCCTCTCAAACATTCCAGATGCAATTGTATAATGTTTATTACAGAATAACAACAATTATTATTATCATTGTCATTGTAGTTATAAACCAAATTATTATTATTAATAACATATTTAAAATAAAAAATTGAAAAATCCAGCTACAATTGTATATTATTTATGATAGTCATGTGCTTCAAACATTACAGCTGCAACTCTACGTTTATTATAAAATAGCAATGACAATATGATAATAATAATAGTTGTAGTTATTATTATTATTATCATCAAAAAACAGCTCAGCTTTGGCTCCGACATATTCTATACTATTAAATATTACATATTAAAATTACTATTTAAAACTTCTGAAAAAGTCATAGATAAGATATTCATTGCTACTGTCTTCTGTAGAGCTGCTTATAGCTGAATTGAACAAGTTTCATAATTTAACTTTACACAGTATTGAACCAAATCTGAACAAACACTGAACACTGACTTGAGCTGAATAATGATACTATAGTATTTTTACGATACAGTATTTTTAGAGCTGCTTTACAGCAGAATTTGAATTCGTCTTTTATTTGAAGAAGTTTGCATCAATGATTCTGTTACTTCCCTGTTTATTATAGTGAAGCTGCTTTGAAACAAACTGTATTGTTTAAAGCGCTATATAAATAAAGTTGACTTGATTGAGTTTTTTTTTCATAGCTACAAAAAATGTGTTCTAAAAAAAAAAATCACAGAACAACCAATGCACGTGGACGACTCCAGAAAACATTTATATTCCGAAATATAATATTCTCATGAATACAAGAACACCCATGAATAAGATGGGGGAAGGCTCGCATAAAGAGATTATTCTGAATAAGACTTTATCGGGGACATGAGCCATACGGAGAATATTGTTGTGCATGTAAATGTCGGTGACGGTATGAACTGTGTGGAAGTCTTAGACAGATTTAATATTTGGCAAGGAAGCCTTTGAATCCCCGCCTGGAAGCCAGGCTTACACAGTGCTCAGAAAGGGACGAGAGCCAAGATTTAATTCAACATGTCCCCTTTCTTTCCTTCTGGGTTTCCTTGCCTCGCCTCTGGGGTGGGATGATATCTCACAACACTGCTTCAATGCTTTTGTAGAAACGCAATTCTCTGTATGGTGGTACAGCTTGATTTTTCCATTTGAAAGAGAGAAGTGCTCTCGTTTCTATGTTGAAAGCGATGGCTCGGAAGGCCGCAGAATGATTTTTCATTACCTGCCAGGTGCAGCGGAGTCGAGTTGCGTCCCTGTGTGTCTCTGCAGTTGATGTTCTCCAAGCTGCACAGTTTCTGGACCCGGGCCAGGCAGCCTTTTTTGGCGGCATCCAAAAGCGCTGCATCTCCTCTCAGCAAGTCCTGGATATCTGTGTCTCCCTCCTTCACCATGTCCAATGGCGTGTTTCCATCCCGATTCTTCTTGGTGGGGTCTGCTCCATGCTGAAAGAGACAAAGACATTGAGCGCAGATCCACAGAGAAGCCCAAAGGCTGACTTAGCACAGTTTAAAAACCTCATCTATGATCTTTCTGAACATTTATACATGAAATGGTCATTACTCAATCATTCAATCCTCAGAGGATGAGAGATTTCACTAAACATAAATATGTTATATATAAATATGGTTATATATATATATATATATATGTGTGTGTGTGTGTGTGTGTGTGTGTATATATATATATGTATATTTTATATAAAATTTTATTTATATTTAAATTTTAATGTGACAAAAATGGCTTTTTTTTATTAAGAATGTTTACTTTTGAGAAAAGTCTTTTGATCAAATTACATTTTTAGGCCACAAGTATTGAATTTAATAGTTAGGGTCCATTAATATTTTAGTTCCCTGTGCAGCAATAGATCAAAGAAAATGTATTTTAATAGCCTGCAAATGAATTTTTCTCAACTTAATTTTTTTCGAATCAGAATCAAATCAAATCTGAGACTTTGAATAAGAATAAAATTGGATCAGGAAATCGGTGCCTTCGCAATCATTTTACAACTGCTCTTACGGATTTAGATTCAGTGGATGAGAAAAGTACATTTCTTTTCTGCAGTTTCTACCAAAGTCTACCTCAGCAGTTCCACTTCAAGAAACAAAGTGACATGTTCGTTTGAAGGCTAATGTGCATATTCTTTACAGCTCTGAAGCTGAACCTCTGTGACAGTAACCTGAGGTACGATGAAAGCAGACGGCAGACATGTTGTGACATGTTCGTTTGAAGGCTAATGTGCATATTCTTTACAGCTCTGAAGCTGAACCTCTGTGACAGTAACCTGAGGTACGATGAAAGCAGACGGCATTAAAACCGACGTCTGCTCAACGGCAATAAACCTGAAGCCCCTGCAGCAGTTCACACTGCATTTAAAAACTTTACAGAGTGATAAAAACCATTAACAACTCCAGGCTGTCAGACATCTAGAGAAAGAGATATCTCTTGAATTAACAAGTATGTCGAGTGACGTGAGGAGGTCAGTGTTGAGCCGGCAGGAGTAGTGATGACAGTACCTTCAGAAGGAGTTTGCAGATCTCATATTTGCCCTTGGCTGCCGCCTCATGCAGCGGAGTGAACTTCCACAGGTCAGCCACGTTGACGGACGCTCCGTGTCTGACCAGCAGCTCTGCCACTTCGTAATGGCCGTACGAGCAGGCGTTATGCAGCGGCACCAAACCTCTGCCAACAGACAGGGAATTCGAGAGATAAATAGTGACAAGAAGATTATAGTTTATCTCCTGGTGCTGCTGCTAAGTCATGAGCTGACTGTTAATGAGGTTCACTCCACATCGAAGGGAGTCTCACCCTTTGTCTTTGGCGTGGACGTCAGCACCGTGGTGCAGGAAATACTCAACCACGGCCACGCGATTGTAGCCGGCGGCAAAGTGTAGCGGTGTGGAGTGACGGCCCTCCAGGTCTCGACAGTTCACATTCTGAGGGGAGCAAAGTTGCTGTACAAAACAAAATGATACATCATTAAACTGAATGCAAGTTTTTATACTGCAAATACGTAACTTTATTTTAAAAATGAGCGTTTAAATACATCCTAGAAATTATTTCATTTGATCTGCTTTTATAGGGTACCAGGCCAGAATTATGGCAAGCATCAGTATAGATTCTGATTAATTGCCTGACAAAAGTCTAATTGGTGCTCTGATATAATTACTTTACGCATAATGAGGCTTTCAGATGATGAGGATCTGATCAGAGCAAAGGCATCCATCCATACAGACGTTTTTATCATGTTTCTAAATCACTATCTTCAGGCTTATATCACCAGTCAAAAGGTTTGAGGTTATAAAGCTTTTGATCTAAAGACTTGTGCATAAATTATTCAAACCAGTTTTGCAGACTAACACAAATAGTATTTACATTAAAAATTATTTGTAACTTTAATAACATTAATTCTAAGTATTAATAATTTTGCAATATTAATAATATATACACTACAGTTCAAAAAGATTTTTAATGTTTTTGAAAGAAGTCTCTTATGCTCACCAAGACTGCAATTATTAGATACAAAATACAGTAAAAAAGCAATATTGTGAAATAGTATTACAATTTAAAATAGCTGTTTCTATTTTAACTGTTTTATATCTTAAAATGTAATTTATTCCTGACAGCAGAGCTGAATTTTCTGCATTATTCCAGCCTTTAGTGTCGCATGATCCTTCAGAAATCATACAAATAGAAAAAGAACAGTATTTATTTGAAATAAAAATCTTTCGTAACATTTTAAACTGTCTTTACTGTGACTTTTGAACAATTTAATGTGCCATTGCTGAATAAAAGTATTCAGCAAGTATAATACAATTTTCTTCTCACTCTCTCAAAAAAAATAAATAAATAAATAAAAGTATGGAACAAAACACATCTAAGAGCTGCAAGCTGTGTCCTTGAAAAGTTTATTTGTCTGGAATAAAGAAACTAAACTCATTTCGGGGTATTTTTGTTCCAGACAAAAGCCTATAAAAAAATTCAATATCCATAACCGCAGATATATTTTCATCTCCATGTAACCTGGAGCTGCTTAGTAGCACTACACTAATGAAAACAGTTGTAAAGGTTATTACAAAGTATCTAAAATGAATTAAAGTTTCTTACAAAAAAAGAAATAGTGGCCAAACTGTTTCATGTTATATCTCGGCTCCACCAGATCACCACAGATTTTTAAGCTTCCCTCACCTCCAAAACCTTTTTTAACCCTTGGTTGGCTGTTGAACAACTATCCTGTCCATCTCTATTTGAAACCAAATTAAGGCGCCTCTCACCTTCACAGTGTCCAAGTCTCCTGCTTTTGCTGCTTCTAAGAGTCTATAATCCACATCTGAGTTCCTCACTGGAATGTTTTCTAACAGACACGAGCATAAATTAACGTGAATTTCCATAACTGTTAATGCATTAAGATACAGAACTTCAAAGCCCAAATAAACAATCCCAAACCCCAGATTCAGTCCGTACCATTTAGGATCTGCTGTACAGCTTCATTGCCCATCTGTGCGGCTGTGAAGCCCTGCAGGGAGACGATGGCGGGGTCGGCTCCATAACTCAAAAGTATCCTGCATGTCTGCAAGTGTCCAGCCAGAGCCGCCCGGTGTAATGCAGTCTGACCCAGCGTGTCAACAGCATTCATCTATAAACAAACACAAGAAAGGATGGAAAGAAAGTGAGCAGACTGGAATCTCCTCCTCACTGATCAGTGAAGAGCACATCTGAACGCAGCCCACAGAGCAAGACTGAGCTGTAATCAAACTTGGCCTCTTTTGAAATGAACACAAATCTGAATTAATCAGACAAGCCCCTGGGAAACTTCTACACTCCTTCAACGACTATCAACACTGCACAGTGAAGAAAGAAAGGGACCTACTGTGTAATGTCTGCGTGTGGTTTAGCGTATGGTATGATTACAGTTCATTATTCCGTCTCAAACTTGTTACTTTTTAAAAACTCAAACTCTCAGCAAAATCGTGCTTTACTGAAAGTGCGAAATGTATGTGTTCCAGTTCTCCATATCAAACACACAATGCCTTTGTTCACACTGCAACCAATTCTGATTTGTTTTAAAATAAATGTGTTACTGATAATAATGCATGAACATTCATTTTGAGAAAAACTGAAAATGAAGTCTCATCGGTGAATAGATGCTTACATCAGAGTACGTAGAAAGTTAAAAATGTTCTTTGAAAATAACTTATGCTTGCATGATTTCACATAGCCTTGCATTTAGTCCTCTCCATGGGGTTCACATTACAATTACATCTGTTAAAGTTCTGGTTTTTGCTCATATTTTCGGCCAAAATTGGCTCTTTTGACTAAAAACAGCATTTTATTGCATTTTTGGATGAAAATGTTCCATGGTCTAAATGTTTCAGCATCCGTACTATATATACATTTATGATCACGTGATTATAATTACATACAGAGCTGCAAATAATGGAAAAATTATGTAATCCAAATATGACTGACTGAAATACAAAAATCTGATTCTGAATTTAAATTTTAAACTTCATTACTGTTCAAAAGTATGGAGTTAGTAAGATTTTACTTTCATGCTTTTATTTGAGCAAGGATCCATTAAACTGTGCCAGTGAAGACAATAATAACGTTACAAAATATTTCTGTTTCAAATAAATGCCGTTCTTTTGAACTTTTTATTCAAAGAATCCTGAAAAAAAAGCATCACAGTTTACACAAAAATATTAAGCAGCACAACTGTTTCCAACATTTCAACATAGATAATAATAAGAAATTATTCTTGAGCAGCAAATCAGCATATTAGAATGATCAAGGATCATGTGACACTGAAGACTGGAGTAATGATGCTGAAAATCCAGCTTTTTATCACAGGAATAAATAGCATTTTAAAATATATTAAAATAGAAAACAATTATTTTAAATTGCAATAACATTTCACAATAATACTGCATTCTTGAGCAAATAAATGCAGCCATGGTAAGCAAAAGAGACTTCTTTTTTAAAATCTTACAAACCAAAGCAGGTGAAATGTGAATTTTGGGCCAACAAACTACTAAACAGATTTTAGTCTTACAGTCTATACCAAAAACATACTTTCCTGCCTGTATGAACAAAGCTACACATATCAATCTAGATCTTCAGCTAATAAGCATCTCCCACCATCAGCTGATTTCCTCAGTAACTGTGTTTGCTTCAGACAGCTTTATTCTTCATGCTTCCTGCTCTTCTTATTAACTCGAAGCTTCCACACCATCTGTTTACTGATTCACACATGGTCTGTAAACACACGCTAGCTACAATAGCCTCTTGTCTTTGAACCTCCAGCCTGACTATTTATCCAGTCCATTAATGTCACTTAAGTCTGGCCGCTGCAGTTTGGCAGTGAGCTGGGTCGCAACACCAATTAACGATCGGATGCGTTTCCAAGGGGTCGTACTGCAACAGATGGACACTGATGACTGAATGATGGAATTCAGGTTATGGAAGGTCAGCCTCCGTTTATTTATCATGCAGAAGAGCTGGGATGCGAGCACAAGGGAAGTCAGCTTTGAAAATCAAGCTGCTCCAGGCAGCATAAAAGAGCCACACAGCATCAATGAAGAGGACCTCTGGATAATACAACCTTGCGTGAAAGTAGGACACGGAAGTTTGATGAACGGGGAGGCCCTTTAGATACACTCTTGGCTCGAACAAAGACAGCAGACTGTGGATGAGATTATTTCCAGGAGCATCGGCTCCCCTGGTCTCTCCGCTGAAGAATAGCTGATCAGCCGCGATGCTCTCAGCCAAGGAGGTAGCTGAATGCCTGATCAGTTAGTCGATGCTTATCTGATTTGGCTCTCTGAAAGAGCTCCATTGATTTGGAAGTCTTTTACCCCTCTCTGCTCTGGAGAGGTAATGACATGACTGATGTAGCTCGTAGACGTCCTCCAGTTTCTCTGACACAGTCCAGCTGTGAGACCGAGGCAGCAGGCTATTTACCTATTCACTTTCACTAGAAAACTTTGACACAACCACTAAATGTGTCAGAATTATTTTTTTAAAAGTAGTACAGAAACAGAACCACAGAGTTTTAAACACTGAGGATGAACACAAATAAATACAGTAAAAAAATAAAAAAATAACAATATTTATATATTTATATATAAATAAATATATATATTTTTAAAGCAATTTATTCCTGTTAGTAAAGCTGAATTTTCAGCAGTTACTCCAGTCTTCAGTGTCACATGATACTTCAGAAATCATTCTAATATGCTGATTTGATGCTTCAGAAACATTTCTTATCACAGCTGAAAACAGTTGTGCTGCTTAATATTTTTGTGGAAACCATTATCTATTTTTTCATTATTCTTTTATGAATAGAAAGTTCAAAAGTACAGTATTCTTTTGTAACATTATGAATGTCTTTACTGTTACTTCTGTTCAATTTAACCCATCCTTGCTGAATAAAAAAATGATCTTACTGAACCCAAACTTTTAAACGGTAGCATACAGTATGTTTAGAATACATTGAAATTCCCCAGCAGCCTGTTGTGAAATAAGGTCATTTCAGACTGCAACACAAAAACAAATAAGAATCAAAATTGTATTAGGCAATGCAATTCTCAAAAGAGCTTAGAACTTATTTCATATTTTCAAATGTATTTCATCTAGCAAAAGGCGTCATTCCATTCCACACACAGAAGCACCATACTATTAATCATGGGAAACAATAAATCATGCAATTTAAGTTTTCATTCTTGTGCATATGCGACAAAAAACATGAATTGCTTGCCAAGTTTGCTCTGATGTATAGCATAATTGATGCGTCTTTTATGCAGGTCCATCTGCATTAGTGGAAGAATGCAAATGTTACAGATAAATCAGAATAAGTTCATGATTCCCAACTCTAGTGAGCAGATTTCAAATGAGAGACCAATCTGCTAAAGTATCTTTGTGAATGGAGTGATGAATGTTTGGCAGTTAATTGGGAAGATGTTAGCATATAAACACTTCCATACTGATGATGAGCTCTTCCATCTCAAAGTCAATTATCTGAACCACTGATAAGCAGGCAAATTACTCTGACAAAAAAATTAAAAAATAATAATAAAAGTAGAGTGCAATGGGCTCATTCTTCATTCTTCTCCTCTTACAGCAGGAACGTGATGACTCAACTGCACACAACAGTAGATGTGACAAAAATGCTGCTCCACTGAACTGATTTTTCTTGGCTCAGGTGAGAACAGACAAAAAAAAGATGCTGTGGTTCTGTAGAGGGGCCATATTCTACACTTGTAGTGTTTTATTTTTTCCCCAGAAGACTACTTATGTCAGTCAATGGCTCTTGCACCAAAACAATCATAATCTATTTTAAAATGTCCTCCCTCTCTCTGACCTGAGCTGTTGTTATATGGCAAGAGAATATCTCCCCAAAAAAATCTTCTTTCTTCCCACAAAAAAAAAAAAAAAAAAGCTTCCAGGTTTGCAATGTCATGCGGGGGAATAAATGTTGAACATTTTTTGGTGAACTATCCCTTTAAGGCAGACTATACTGTGAGAGTTGGATGGTGAGGCGAGGTGTCAGGTGTGTAAATGTGCGTGTATGTGTGTGTCGCGGCTCTGTAGGCACATGCAGGTATGTGGCATCTGCTGACACAGGAGCAGCTGTGTACCTTCGCCCCGTGTTTCTGCAGAACCTCCATGATGTCATTGTGCGCCCGTTCTGCTGCCACATGGAGAGGCATCATGAAGCTGCACAGGGAAGAAGGGCAAGATAACAGAGAAGATAATAAGTAAGCCAGACAGACCTTAAGAGGATAAACATTTGGCATTTGATAAACACATGACAGACCCATTCACTCACTCTTTGTTCTTCTCATTGACATTGGCTCCTTTCCGTAGCAGCAGTTCAGTGACCTGTTTTCGTTTTGGGTGAGGTGAGGCAACAGCACAGTGCTAAAAACACAGGATAGAGGCCTTGTAAGTGTCACGGTTTACCACAAATTCTGTCTTTTTGGTAACATTTTGGCACCATTTGGGTCACCATTCACTTTCATTGCATGGAACAGAGCAGTGTGGACATCCTGCCTATATATCTCCTATTGTGGTTTTAGGAAGAAAAAAATTAAATCATACAGGTTTGGAATGACATGAAGGTGAGTAAATTATAACAGGATTATCATTTTTGGACTATCCCTTCAACATCTGCACTTCAACCTGATATCTCAGCTGGTGAGCTTTGAAGTGAATCAGCAGGGGCTCACCAGTGCCGTCTCATGCGTCTGTGGGTGCTTGAAGTTGATGATCTCCAAAGCTAGGGTCTTCTTTACCTTGGTCATGTCTGCTTCCCGTGCCGCCTGAAGAAGAGAGTTGCCCTTAAACTCGTCTGCACCGGAGGAAAAAATAATATTTAGAGAGGTGATTCAAGACGCTCTGACAGAAGTCAGTGGTAGACATAATTCATCAAGACATAGCGTGAAAAAAGTAATTGAGGCTTCACAGCTACAATGCAATCTGGCTTTATGGCAGCAAAAATATGAGTTAGGATATCTAAAATGTATGACTGAATTGTTTGACCTGATCGAATGAATTTTGCACATTCAATTTAGTATGCTTCTGCTCATAAGAACGGCAAAGCATGGAACATTATTCCATCTACATGAGAGCCATTTTACTGAATGAGCACGGCTGGGATTCGGCCAAAGGTAATCCCAGTCATGCTGATATTTAGCAAAACACTGCAGTTGCAACAATTGGATGATCTTTGCCATAATTTGCCAACAGTTATTCTGTAAAAACACTGTTAAAACAATTCAATTTATTTTGTAATGTGCTGATTTTTTAACACAAATCAGCAAAAATAGTATCATAATTTTAATATTGCTTTTATGCAAGTTTTATAAATCAATAAATTAATATTGAGTAGTTTGTAACTAAAATTCATTTGTATAATTTTACTTAGTCAATAAAAATGGTTTTAAAAGAAGTCAAAGCATCCAACTTTGCATATCTCAAAAACAATGCAACAGTTAAAAGTAGTATTAAAAGTATAGAAGATAATATTTAACTGGTATATTAAATATTAGCACTCTTGGATCACAGCTTGACCCATTAATAATAAGGATGGTGAACTGAGAACTAAATACTGTACATTATTAATTTATTAAGTATATTATCTTTTTTTGTAATTACAAGAAATTTTATAGTTATATTATATAAATATTATATTTTTATTCATTTTTATTATATTTTTAATTTACCAGACACTATCATAAGTGACTTACAAAGGAGGAATATTACAACATTTGCTTGTTCTACTTTGCATCGTAAAATATTCGAAGCTCAAACACAAATTCCAGATAAAGGAAAATCTTTACACAGCAAATTGTGTAAAGTTTCAGTCAAAACTGCATCACTCCACCCCACACTGGGAGAAGCCAGATGGAGAATTCACAGGCAAAATATATAACGACGTCGCCTGCCAACCTCATCAGCAGACTGGAGCTCAGTCTCCACTGCGCTTGAATAATGCAGAATGAGAATATTGTATGTTTAAAGGCGTCTTTCTCTAAACCTTGATGTGTCTGTCTCAGTGCCAGTGAGAAGGTGGCAGGAACAATCAGAGCCAAGTTGCGTCCAGCTCACTTACACTTGCAAGGTGAACGAGCAGGATGAGTTTTGTGGACTTTGATGCCACTTATACTGAGCAACGGTGAAAGATCCCGGTCCGTTGTCTTTAATTTACTCTTAAGCAATAAGGAATGAGGCTGTTTTACAAAAGCTGAAAGGCCATATATTCTATATTGTTAATATAATAACGACAAAAGTTGTTGCATCAAGGCGTGTCGTGCCTAACAACCGACTTTAGCCATATATATATTTGTTTATATCATTTATTTATAATTACACTTAATACTTTTAGAATTCCAATGCAGATGGAATTTTATATAATTTTATGTGCTTCTGTCAATTTCATTAGTTTTTTAAAAATATTTATATTTAGCTTTAATTTATTTTAATTTGTAGTTTCAGTACTTCAACTTAATCTTAACCTTAGTTAGTTGCCACGGCAATATTTCTAATTTAGGCTTTTTGAGTTTTTGATCTAATATTTATATTTTATTTTAGCTTTATTTTATTTAACAAAAACAATTTTTAATAGATTTAGTTAACAATAACAACACTGTTTTACAAATATACTTACATAAAGAATGATTTTTTTTTATAATTATGAAATTTATACTTTCAATTAAGCAAGGACACATTCAATTAATCAAGACATTTATGATCTTTTAATAGTTTCCACACTAAGAAAAAAAAAATATTTTCAGCTGTGACAAGAAATGTTTCTTGAGCACCAAATCAGCATAAAATACATTAAAATGATTTCTGAAGGATCGTGTGACACTAAAACTGGAGTAATGACTGCTAAAATTTAAATAAACTGCTGAAGAAATCGATACAATTTTAAAATATATTAAAATTCAAACCAGTTATTTTAAATTTTAATATTATTGCACAGTATTATTGTTTTTGAATTTTCTGACATTTTTGAGCTAACACAACTTTTGCATGATAAATACAGATTACATTGTTGGCGAATATAAGAATATTCTTTCAAAAACATTCAAAATCTAACTGACCCCAAACTTTTGAACAGAAGTCTAATTAAAGATGGTAAGAAGGTAAACTCACATGTGAGCCTCTCTTTGAGTTCTGGGGTCGGGGCCATGTCCACCGCGCTCTTCCCGTGGCAGTTGACCAGCGTGGGATCGGCTCCATGACTCAGCAGCAGGGAACACACCTCCACACGATTCTTGGAGGCAGCCTCATGCAAAGGGGTGAACTGCCAGAGGTCCATGGCATTAACACATGCCCCATGCTACAGAAAAACATTCAGGGTGAGATCACACGGAAAGGATGGCACCAACTCTGAGGACCAACATTCATTTTCAAATACATTGAGAACATTATGCGGTTCTACTTGAGCAGTTAGAGTAGTTTTAGCATAGATTATGAATTTCTATCTATTAGGGAGTCCGCCATGCCCCAGAAGCCGAGTTAATAGCACTGAGCGAAAAGAATATCGAACACATATTTAGAAAATGACTGAGACATCAACTTGCACTCAGAGGCAGGGGGTAAACAGTACAAAATGATTAAAGGGATAGATCTCCTAAAAAATAATTTTCTTAACTCTTTCAAATTTAATACACAAGTTGTATGAACCAATTTGACTGCTTTTTTAGAGCTTGACAGACCCTGGTCACCATCTACTTTAATTGGATGGAAAATTCTTTTCTTCTTTTGAGCTGCAAGTGAGAGGAATGAAACAAAAGCTCCTAAGGAACTCAGGAACATCAAGATAACGTCAGGTGTTCACAATGGATCTGTGCTGATAAGAGGATTCTTAATTGTCTTGTTGATCATTGCACAGCACATTTAATCGAATATAATGATCTTAAGGAGATCTGGGGAGCTACTGGTATTGTGATAAGCTCTCCCGAGGCCAAGAATACTCTGTTCTGCTGTGTATCAAACTCCAAACATTGTTGTAGAGACAGATTGGCCACTCCGCAGGGCTCTGTTGACACAGCGAGCATGGGAGAGCACACAGTGAGCATAGTGTTCCATATAACAGCTTTGTAAGTAAAGGAAGCTGGGCTTAAAGGCCATACTCTGTGGAACTTCAGGATCAAGGGAGAGCTTGTGTTTGCACTGAGACAGAATGCACTCTGACAAGACATACAGAATGAAGCTGTATATGCAGAAATGTAGGACGTACATTGAATTAGTCACTTTCTTATTGAGCTGTGAGATAAAGTAACCCAATCCAGGTGTTATGAAGGACTCTGATAACCAACAATGGACAGTGAATGTCATTGGTGGGCTTTTTAATTGACAGCTCAAACTACAAATCAGTACAGCTTTAGCGTCATCTGTAAGTAGTTCCGCTAGAAAGAAAAAGAAGTACGTCTGGACGTTTAGTGCGGAGCTAAGTGAGTGTTCTCCACAAAGTTGATTTCCGGTTTGTGTGTGCAGCAAAAAGTAAGTTTAAATGATTCCATCTTTATTGTTAAAACATTTGTATATTGTTGCTTCTGGGTGAAGTTAGTCACGGACTGAAGATCAGAATCAGAATCAGAATCAGAATGAGCTTTATTGCCAGGTATGTTTACACATACGAGGAATTTGTGACAGAAGCTTCCACAGTGTAACAGAATGACAGTGACAGAACAAAAAAACACAGATAATAAAAAATAAAAATAAATAAAAAATAGAACAAGTAAAATTACAATAGAAAAAAAAAATACAATTGTATGTACAGGTATATAACAATAGACAGTTGCGTGTACAGTGAGAGCGCGCAATATTATGCAAAGTATATTATGTGCAAATTGAAATGTAGACTGAGTATGTGTGTTAGATAAATAAGTGTATGAGTGAATAAATAGATTAACGGCAATACTATATGCTTGTGTACCACGATCGCGATGGCGCTAATGACATTACGGCTGTAAATTTGAGTCCCGCTCGGAGCAAGGTTGTACATAATGTTGATTATTGCGATTATATAGTGACTATAGTTAATCCTAGAAATACTTCAGTGCCTTGTAACTGCTTAATATGGTTGTAAATGTTTATTGTTATTATAATTATTTTGTGTACTGTTATTTACTATTCTTGTATGTATACTTTTCAGAACCACATATATACTTGCATCTACAGTGGAGAATAAATATGTTTCAGTTTAAATTGAAACAAATTCAAATGAAAACTAAAAATAAAAAAAATAAAAAAATAAAAAGTCAAAAAGCTAATTCAAAATAATCATAACACCTATAATAGTATATAAATAATACTAAAAAAACTCAGAGTAATTATTCTGTCCACAATGATACCGAAAACACTGTGTAGCATGGAAAAATTTAAATATGTAGTAAGTGAAGCAGGATTTTGAATCAATGACAATATACTGTGGACAGGACTGTCCAGTGTGACAACACACAAAAACCAAAGTCACTGACAAAATGACTTGCAACAGGTTAGGACAAAGCTTAGATTTGAAGGTTGCTTCATTGCATTGTGCCGGGTTAGGACAAGCTGCTTAACTGGAAACATAGGTCACACTACAATATACATGCACAACCATTCAGGATTTTGTCCTTACCTTTAGCAGTAGCTCTGTAACCTCATAGTGTCCATATGAGCAGGCGTTGTGTAGAGGAACAAGACCACTGGGGGGAAAAAACAAAAAACAAAATCATTTACGGTCAAAATTTGATTTTCCTTTAAGTATTATATGGACAATGGAAGGCTAATGAACAAAAGTTCTTACCAGAGTGAAAACAATTTGAATTAGCTCATAGAGACCATATTTATTTCAATGTAAAAAAACAAACAGGAAAGTAAGGAAAAAAGGAGACTTAAGCAGACCTACCCTTTATCTTTAGCATGAACATCAGCGCCATGTTGCAGGAGAAGCTGAACTATTCGGACTCTGTTGTATCCGGCTGCCAGGTGCAATGGAGTAGACTACAAGAAAGAAAAGAGGAAACACCGTTATGACAAAACTGTAAGATATACACTATTGCTCAAAATTTGCTCAAAATGTTTTACTTTTATACAGGAACATTACATTTTAAACATATTAAAACAGAAAGCAGTTATTTTATATTGTAATAATATTTCACAATATTACTGTTTTACTATAAATATGATCAAATAAATGCAGCCTTGGTGACCATAAACAAATTCTATAATTCTCTTAAAAACATTCAAAATATCGTACTGATCTCAAACTTTTGAACGGTTATATACACAGATCCAACAAAGCCATGACAAAGCACCCCTCTGTAAAGCAGTGCCAAGAACCTTTTTCTTCTTTATGTCTCTTTAAAAAGTATTAGCGTAGCCATGAAATTGGGCTGCCTAAAGACCAAGGGAGGTCTTTGTTTGTGAGGAAAAAATTAATACTGGGTTTCCTCTCCTCTAGAAAGAACAAGGCTCGTGACTGAATTTTGCCTTAAAGAAGTCACACTTCATTGTAGCTCTGTGGCTTGTAAACCCGCCTGACAATCCAACCCTGTGCAAGTCTTACTGTTTTACTAAGAATGATCCAGAGTTTAAGAATTGACATACATAATAATTAAGGTATTCAACATCATATACAGTGTTGTGAAAAAGTGTTGGCCCCCTTCCTGATTTCTTATTTTTTTGCATGTTTGTGTACCGCAGCACACAGCGGGGTATAACAACAGTTCCCTCAGCACAGCGCGATCATTTCAAAAACTCATATCACCTGTATTCTGATGACTATTTGAGGATCGTATTTGTTACGAGTGTTAATTAAAGACAGCGGTTGATATTTGTTTCAAGCCAACAAAAATGAAACGAGAAGAGAATTTAAATTTAAATTAAAAGGAAGTCTGATGACACAAATATTAGTTCAAACAGTTCAAATAAGCAGTTAATCACATTCTTAACTTAAAGACATCAAGTAATTCATGCATTCTGCATTCAATAACAAAACACCAACAAAAAGAAAATCGACAAGCCAATCGAAAACAATCAAACAAAAATGAGGATCAGGTGGCACAAAGAAAATCAAATTCGCATAAAGTTCTCCAATGAAATGCGACAAGGCACAGGGTCATAAACCATCGCAGCAATGTATTGATGTGAGCAAAGTGCAATGCGCAAACTCCATGTGTTCCCGCACAGTCTCCTGCGGTAAGCATGGATCATTCACCATACAGCTGAAAATGCACAAAACAATGAAAAATCAATCTAGATGAAATTGGAAAACTTTAAATTGTGTCCTTCAATTGCAAAATAATGATAACAATATGCAGTGACAAGCTTTCCTAGGCATGCACACCAGGGTGTTGGAGGTTGTAAAAGACAAGAAACAAACCGAGTGAAAGTGTGAGTGGTGGGGTGGAAAGCTGTAGTGGTACAGGAGGTATTTTTAAGCTCACTTATCAAGCAGGTGGTACACTAACACATCCTCTTTAGGGAAGAGTTTTCACACCAGGTTTTACTCTCATATCACCTTCACCCCAAACCACTGCATTCACAAAGCTGCAGTGTGTGAACAAAGAACCAAAATGGGCACATTGTGACAATTAAAGAAAAAATAATGTACAAAAAATTGAAGAAAAAAAAAATCCAACAGAGATTAAAATGAGTGCAAAAAATAAAAAAAACTTACCAGCATTTTTTGCGATGTCGACTGATAGACAATGTCGCCAGAATGAGGAATAAAACAAAAGAGAACAAAAATAAAAACAAATAGTGACAAAATGATAGCATTATGTAATTCTGGCACACCCTGCAACAATTCCTTGTCTTTTGTCCTCTACCTTTACCTGGGACATTGGCACAAGCTCAATGTTCAAAGCGCAGCACCACATTGGCAGCACCGCTTTGTGATGGAGACTGAAATTACATGATTTCAACACAAAGACGATATGCGAACAGAGCAAGCAGTCCATCATTCTTTTTACTCTCCAGGGAGTTTGGGCTGACTTGACAGAAGAGTTGGTACTGATTCAGTGGCACTAAACCAAAACTCATTTCAGACAGCTGTGACAGAGAGATCGCACATGTGCTGCTGGTTTACATGATTCATCCAGTGGCAGAACACTGTGGTCTGTTGACTTGTGTTTAGATTGTCTACTGAATTTGTATTATTAGTACAAAAAACAAAAGGCTTTGTTCATTGGAACAAAGCAGGAGAAAAAAAGAAGCCAATTTGTTTTCATAAAAAAATTTAAATATAAATAAAACTTTTTGTCTCCAACTTTGTTAATATTAATGCTAGCTGGTGCTTCTATTCCTAGTAGATGACCATTAAAAATAGCATGCTTACCATCTGTTAACCAAAGCAACACTTCTGTAAACTAAACCATTTTAAGATGCAATGAATAAGTGTATTTCCCTAATAACACGCATTTAAATTTGACCCATTTTAAATAATGATAAACATGAACACTCACCAATTTTTTTTTTTCTCTAACCATAAAGTCTCCTTCAAATCGGAATTACTTGCTGAATCAATCTAAACAAAACCCAGTTTGTACTCTACGAAAGATTATATTCTCAATCTCATTTGGCACCACAGATCTATTATAGTATCAAGGTCATCCTCAGACTAAAATGAATTAATCTGACATTATATCAACATTTTAACTACTTCCCAAAGAGCATTACATTTAACAGTGACAGTAAATATAAGATGACCCAAAATTGACCCTTGGGGAACACCTAGTTATTTTACCTTGTGAGAAATATTCATTTAAGGATTTTCTGAGCAACCTAAATCTTGCATATGTAACGTGTCAGGAGGCTGGATCACCATGGCGACACAGTCATACAGTAGCCATGGCTACATTCAATCACTTTGGCCCCTCCTGCCAATCTGTCAGTCCTACCCAAAGCAAACAGGACTAACAGGAAAGACACATACTGCAGATCCACGTTATCTTGTGCTCTCTGCAAAATGAAAAGTAAAAGACAAAATATAACGGCAGCTTAACCGTAGGCTATTAAATCTGCTTCTTGCACAGATCTTCCATCAATTTCTTTAAGAGCACGACACACCAGCAGAATTGCCGTCTCACTCGAGAGCTGTTCCTATTGAATCATTTAAGATGAATGTGTTGCCTAAAGATGTACAGCTGGAAATATTACCCCCTACATAATCCAGATCGCAACATCCTGACACTGTTTAAAATGGGTGGAATGCTAAAATGAGCTTTTGCTTTGTTTTAGGGGAATAGAATTCGCAAATAATGAAACTCAGAGTACCCTCAGTGCATTTGGCTCTGTCACATAACATCTTTCTGGTGCTGGCAGAAACAGCAGACAGGTGAACTAGAGCGAAGATCTGTGCCGATTCAGATGGCTTCTAACAGAAAGCGACAGTAAAGCTACGTGGCAGGGTTGACCTTTTGCCAACAGACCCTGAAGCGTGAGAGTGAGACGGAGAGTGCAGGTCATTTAAATGGGTTATTCTGCCCATTCAAGCATGGGCTGCCAATAAGACAAATCATTGCACACTGAAGCTGACCTTGTCTGCAACAACACTGAGCCACTCAATTTTTTTTTTAAAGATGAAAAAATATATTAAAATACTTTCTTTTATTCCATTTACATTAGGGATGCACCGAAATGAAAATTCTTGGCCAAAGCCGAAACCGAACAAAATTAAACACTGGGCCGAAGGCCGAATACGGTTTTTCGAGTTTTTTTCTCCATGTATTTTGCCAATTTTTTTTTCCACCATTGCAGAAAATAAAAAGCCAAAATGAGCTTTTTACTGTTTTGTCTTGCTTTTCAAAGAAAAAAAATCTATTACAAAACAACAATTTAAAAATATTTAACACTGAACATTTTTAACATTCTAGCAGACACTATACCAACAAAGCACAATTTAATTTAAAATTAATAAGTTAGTAAAATAATAATTGAACCTGAATCTTGAATAAGGCATGTATTTTTATTTATTTTTTATTTTTTTTACTGTACAATTAAAAGCAGCCTTGCTGAGAAGAGACTTCTTTTAAAACATTAGAAAATATTACAGATCCTAATTTGAACACTATGTGTGAATGTTATAATAAATGTATTAAAACAGAGCTGTTGTAATGATTATTTTCATTATTATTGTCTTACTTTTTATTTTATTTTACAGAACAACAGTAAAATTACAATACTAACATGTATGAATGTTGATACGCGTGTATTAGAAAACATAACGTTCTGCAGTTTATTTACTAATTGTTTAAGGCCATTTCATGATTTAAATCATCATGCAGTAACCAGCAACAATCACCCCTTCCTCTTCTCATTGAAGACATGCGATGCAGTCCTAAACATTCTCTCGCTGTCGGTGCTTGTAATGATTTTTGCGTCTTTCTCCGACAGTTTAAATGCTTCCACACTGCTCACGTGTGTGCTGCATAATAAAGAGTACGCGCCTCTCACTCTGCGCTGGTTGCTCTTTGATCGCGTCATATCATTGTTCGGTACAATTTATTCTGTCTTTTCGCTTATTTGGCCGAACACTGAAAGAGCTTTTTTTGCTATTTTCGGCCGAATAATTTCGGTTGCCGAACATTCGGTGCATCCCTAATTTACATATACAGAGACAAGTCTATGTAATATACTTTACCATTACACACTTCATAAAGGTTTGTGATGAGGAGAGGAACAGTGTGAACTTTTGAGTAAATACAAAAAAAAAAAGGAAGAAAAGAAAATCTCTGGAAAGGATTAGAGATGGTAAAACAGTTCTATGCTTCTCACAGATGAAATCTGTACAGCTGGTCCTGTCTTAATCAACATAAGAAAATGACCAAAGTAGGTAAAATCCTATTTATCATTAATGCTGAAGGTTTTGAATGACTTATAATGCATGACTCCACATATAGCCTAATAAATGAACAAACTTTGAAATTTCTATTGTCAAATAAAAAAGGTTTACACAAAAATATATTTATACAATATAAAACCATTTTCAACACTATTAATAATAAGAAATGATTCTTTGGCACCAAATCAGCATAGAATGATTTCTGAAGGATCGTGTGAAAGCTGAAAAATCAGCTTTGCCATCACAGGAATAAATTAAATTTTAAAATATATTAAAACATAAAACAGTTATTTTAACTTGTAATACTGTTTTTACTGTATTTTTACTGAAATAATTGCAGCCTTGGTAAGAGACTTTAATCTCAGTCGACATTACACATCCTGAAATATAATTAAGGAGTATTCATTTTACACAATTTTTAGTGCCTAGACAACAACTAAAACTCCTTGTTTTTCCTCAGAGTAGAAATATCCCTTTGTCCATGTCTTTCCCTTGTCTTGCCTGGAGGAATGGTGACCTGTAACCATGTCAACGGTGAGTGCTTCTCCCCAGCTGTTGCCATGACTGCGGTACATGCTATAACTAGCGTGAAATCTGCGCGGATGGAGCCTTTGAAAACAATGTGTTGCTTGGCTAAGTAACCCTTTAGTGCACCTCCGTTGCAGATTTACACATGAGAGTGTACAGAAGAGGGTCTCTTTCGTCCCTGTGCAATACTAAAGCAAACACCTGGTCCAGAGAGAGGCATCATACTAGATGCAAGCAACAGCAGGAAGGGGCTACCGAGCACACTAATGCCAGTTACACGCTGAGAGGATCAATAAGACACTACCCCCTCTACTAGGCCTGCAATACGGGAAAAATACAGCTCGCCGACTCCTATAGGGGCTTCTACTGGGCTCTTTAATAAAGGAGCTCAAATCCCAAAGGGAGACGACGCCTGGTTCCTCCGTCCTAATCACAACACTAACCCCCCCATTAAAGACAGTCCCAGCAGAGCGCTGAAGGCATTAATACTAGCATGTCCGACGGGATGCAATTTCCAATCATGTGCCGTCAAGGGCTCAAATTTTCCCAGGAGTCTATTGCTGGAAAGCAGAGACAAATAGTCATGTATGATAATTAACTGCAATAAAGTCTGTGTATACGAGAGAACGAGAGCGAGAAAAAGAGATAAAGGCAGACGGGAAACACTACAAGTGTTCCACATACGCATCTGCTCTGTTTCTTCCATCCACCTACGTTTCTACGGGGGCGCATCATTGTGCAATGAGGGCCAGGAACAGACGCTTGGATAGACAAAATATTTGTTAATCTTCAGAAATATGGAAATGAAACAAAAAAAGTTGCGACTGAATTAACATTCTCACAGGCAACCACTGCACAGATTGCACGCTGCTTGTTTTATCTCAGCCTGCGCAGAGAGGCTTCCTCAACATGATACCTTATCAAAGATGGCAAAGCACATTCTGCTCTGTTCGTTTCACAGTCTAACGGGGGGAAAAACAAAATAGCACTTCAGGTGACAGCAAGCTTCACCTGAAGTAAAAAAAAAAGTGAAGACAACACTATCGAGACATATGTGCATACACTACATAATAGCCAATTAATAATTTCTAGTTACGATTATGTACACTACCTTTGTCTGGGATAAGTAAGATTTTTTAATTATTCATTTTTTTCAGCAAGGGCACAAAAAATTGATCAAAAGTGATGGTAAAGTGATGGTAAAGACATTTATAATGTTGCAAAAAAAATTATATTTCAAATAAATGCCATCCTTTTGAACCTTTTATTCATCAAAAAATCCTGAAAGTATTACGATTTCACAAAATATTATGCAGAACGACAATAAT